CTCACTGCAACAGGCTCCTAACTGGCGTTCATTCTTCCACTGTTGGCTCTCATACTGCTCATTTGCTTTGTAACAGTCAGACAATCTTACTAAAGTGTAAATCAGATATCACACCTGTCTCCAGTGCAATGAATTCCCACTGCAGTTTTTTAAAAGGCTCATACTGGGTTTTAAGACTCAAAAGGATCTGGTTCCTACATCTGTCTCCAAATTTATCACTGTGCGTGTATATTGTAGACATCACCCCAAGGGTCTGAGAAACAGTACCCTGTTCAGGAAGAATATAGCCATTCCCCACCCCCAAAAAGCCCTTTTTCCAACCACCATCCCATTTTTTCACTTTATAAGTAACTGCCATCCTGACTTTTATTATACCAACTTCTTTGCTTATCTTTTAATTTCAGCACTTGAGTATGCATTCATGGTTTAAAGTCATTTGCTTGCTTTTGAACTTTTACAATCATATGGTATACATTTTATTGTGTTTACTTAATTTGTTCAATGTTGCTTTTTTAAAGATGAGCCATGTTGCTCTGTATGGCTATAGTTAACTCATTTAATTTGCTGTGTAGTATTTCATTGCATGAATATATTGCAATTTACTTGTTTATTCTATGTTGGTGGGTGTTTAGGTTGCTTCCTTTGGCTTGCTTAAAATAATATTGTTATGAACACTCTTATACAGGTAACTTCATACATATGCACTCATTTCTCTAAGGCATATGCCTAGAAGTAGAAATACTGGGTTATAAGCTATGGAATTGTCAGTTTTTGTAGATAAACTGCTTGTTGCAAGTGTTTGGGACAGATTATACTCCTGCCAATAGTATATTGGTGTTGCCATTTCTCCATTTCTGTGTTAATTCTTGCTATTAATACATCTTTTAAATTTTAGCTATACTAGTGGGTGGCGAGTAATACTGTTGGAATTTTACTTTGCATTTCTCATTACCAATGAGGTATTATTTCATCCATGAAATCAAGAAGATTGTAGTTGCTGTTGTTCAGTTGCTCAGTCCTGTTTGATTCTTTACGACCCCATGGACTGCAGCACGCCAGGCTTCCCTGTCCATCACCAACTCCCAGAGCTTGCCCAAATTCATGTCCATTGAGTCAGTGATGCCATCCAACCATCTTGTCTTCTGTTGTCCCCTTCTCCTCCTGCCTTCAATCTCTCCCAGCATCAGGGTCTTTTCTAATGAGTCAGCTCTTTGTCTATCAGGTGGCCAAAGTATTGGAGCTTCAGTTTCAGCATCATGAACATGTACAAATGAAGTGATGTGTACAAGATCATGCTCAAGCAGGTCCTGAAGGCACAAATAAACTGCATGATCAAGTGGCTCAGATGTTGTCGTGACTCCTGCACAGCTGTTTCTTCCTCAGTCCACACCTAGGCTGGCATAGCGATATCCATAGTTTATTTAGTGAGGAGAAAAAAACTCGGAGGATGGTTCTTTCTATCACAATATGCTTCAGAAATTACCACTGCAATCTAGTGTGCCTCTGAAAGGTGGTCAAGAGAAATCTCAGTGGGCAGAATTTTCAACAGTACTTGTGGTTGTCTACTGTAACTAGGAAAAGAGATGTCCACAGGTGTAGATCTACAGTGTTTCATGGGCAAGGGGCTAGTGGATTGGTCAGGTAGTCAGGGACTTTGAAAGACTAAGATCAGAAGGCTAATGACAAGGAAATCTGGGGAGGGAGTATGTGAATGGACCTCTCAGGATGAGAACAAAATTTGAAGCTAGTAGTGTCCCATGTTATGTTCATAGGGCAACCACTGTGGTGAACATCTTCCTTGATTAAGTGGACAGGATGACTCATCCTCTGGATGTCAGTCATCCTCTTTCCCTAGCATCCCAGTGCTTGCTCAGTGGGCTCATGTACCAAGTAACTATGGCAGCAGGGATAGAGGTTGTCAACCTAGGATCGAACCCAAGTCTTACACATTGCAGGCAAATTCTTAACTGTCCGAGCACCAGGGAAGCCCAAGAATACTGGAGTATGGAACCTATTCCTTCTCCAGGGGATCTTCTCGACCCAGGAATCAAATCAGGGTCTCCTGCATTGCAGGATTCTTGACCAGCTGAGCTACCAGGGAAACCCCATACACGGACTCAGCAACATGAAATTCTTCTCACCAATACTAATCTTACTATTGTCACTGCTGAGTACCTAACCCACTAAGAACAGAGACCAGTCCTGAGAGACACCAGCCATCTGGTGACTAATCATACTGGATCCCTTCTCTAGTGGAAAGGCCAGCAATTGTCCTCAAGAAAATATTTATTCTGGATATGAATCCTAAGACTCTTGCTGTAAGACTACCAACCATAATCTTACCAACATGGTTATCTCTCATAACATAAATTCTAAGTGAGAAATTCATTTCAGAAAGGACTCACAACTATGAAATTCATAGGACTTTCTATGACCAAATCACCCAGAAGTGGCTGGATTGATAGAGTAATATAATGACCTACTGAGACATAGTAATATGATGTTATTTCTCCCACTGCCAGAATACACAGTTTGAGGAATTATGGAATAAAAAATAGGATATATTTTTCTCATTATTATGTTTAATAATCCACTCACAGAATTTTTTATTCCCATCCCTACAAATGGGCAGGAAAAGAGTTCCCTATAAGGGCTGGGGTGGTTGTTCCATAATATTACAGGGAAATTGGTCTACTGCCACACAACGGGGTCAGTATGAACTATGTTAAGAGCCCAGGGGATTATCTGGGTTGCCTCTTAATGTGCTCTTATTTAACAGTAAAAGTTAATACACAACCAACCCCTAAGGACTCAGACCTATCAGAATGAAGATTCGGCTACCTTACTAGGTAAAGAGCCTGGACCAGCTGGCATGCTGGCCAGGAGCAAAAAAAAAAAGAAAATATGGAGTAGGGAAGAGGTTATAAATTCAGCTACAACTTCATCCCCAGGTATAGAAACAAGTACTCAAGCAAATCTACTTTATTGTTTGTTCTGTATATTTCTGTGTATATTAACTCTTTTTTCTTCCCCCTTTCCCTATCAAGTTAGATAGAAAATGGTGGTGGTGGTGCACTTGACAGTTTAATCATCCAGGTGATTCAACCAGAATAAGTAACACCTCTAAGGATAACAGTAGCACTTCCCAGGCAGCTCAGTGGTAAAGAACCCACCTGCCAACACAGGAGACCCGGGTTCCATCCCTGGGTCGGGAAGATCCCTGGAGGAAGAAATGGCTACCCCCTCCGGTATTCTTGCCTGGAGAATCCCATGGACAGAGAAGCCTGGTGGGCTACAGTCCAAGGGGTCACAAAGGGTCAGACACTGAATACGCGTGCACACACACACACACACATGCACACACACTAATAATAGTAACTGATGGAACTTACTTGCCATAGGCACTCAGCTCCCTCTCCCCTCACTTCACACAGGCACACCCACCCTCCTATATTCTGCTCTGTTCTCCTGGGGTTAGGACATGCAGACTACATTTCCCAGACTCCTTTTTGACAACTGGATTCCTGTCAGGTTTGGTCAATAGGAAGCACTGCTGGGAAGTCAGTGGTAGTGCAAGTCCCAGGACCGTGATATTTGTTGGCAGTGGTTTCAGGGGAAACAGCAGTAGAGTGATTCTGAACTCCAACAGGCCACAGACAGAACCTGTCAGTAATCTTAGCTCTGCTTCAGGCAGTACCATCTGAGCAGTTCCAGCATCGATTACAACACCCTCAATAGTGCAGCAGTGGGAACAGACTCCTTGAAGTTTCTGAACTCTGAGAATACTAACCTCCCACAGAACAACCTAACCACATTTACCAGTTATCCAGGAGAAACATCACCAACACCCTAGAATGAAATAAAATGAACCCAAAATCCCCTCATTAAAGCAGCCCCATAGAATGATCAACATGTAGGTCTAATTTAATTACAAGGGTATCTGAAAACGAGATGATCAGATTGAACCGCCACAGTCAGAGCAGCATGCTCAAGAAGCACTACTGGGCGTGCCATGTCTCCTTGTTTATCTCCCCCACCAGTTATAATTTATAATGACATTACTGCAGATTACAGTGAATTTTCTTCCATCACTTGGCCCCTTATTTCAAAGCACAGGTGGATTCATGAACACAAATATCCTTCCTTAAACATAATGCCTGTCTATACTTTTGGAACAGATTTCAACACAAGCTTTTATTTTATTCCTGCTCTCCTTATATCATATCAAATATATTTTGAGATTATCAGGCTTTACCAAATTTTCCATCAGAAATTAAAAATAGTATCTCCATATAATTTCCTCCCTCTGGTAAGTCAAGTTCATTTTGTGTAAAAAATTTCTTCCCTTGTAAAACTAGAATGTAAATTTTTCAAAAAAGAATTTTCTTTTAAATTGACTCTTCAGTCCTATGACTAGTAAGCACCATGCTATTCTGGGACCCCAAAGAAAGCAATTGTAAATCAAGTTCTATAGAACTTCTTTGGTTTGTATTTAAACTAACCATTTATTCAATTCCACAGAGAAATCAGTGTTATATTTTTCTTAACATTCAACTTAAAACATTAGACATAATAAGCTGAATGAGGGAAAATCATTATCAAATGCTAAAAATGTAAACATGAAAACAAATCTCTTTTTAAAAATTCATTTAATTACAAGAAAATTAGCCAGAAAATTGCACAGTTCCAAACAAATCCTCTGTATAAACACAAGGGCTCATTTACCATCATCTTTTTATATTTATCTCTCAAATAACATTCCATCTACTGAACCCAGCTTCTACTGGCAAAATTAGGATACATGGGTATTTTTACTGTTTAATATTCCATAAGCAGAATTAGCTTTTGTTCTGAAGTTATGATGGTGTCTGTCATTCTGCTTCAGAGAAACTCTAAAATTGTTCCCTTATGAGTTTCAATTAGCCACTCTCAAAATCCAATGGAAAAAGAAAACAAAAAAAAACCACTGTAGTTTCTCTAAAAGATTCCTGTCTTCAACTTCATTTTACCAGCCTAAGTACAAATTCAGAGAAAAGCTTCTTAAGTCCTGTAGTTTCAAATTCCTTTTGTAACTCATCCAATGACGAATACTCTTTGACTTCAAATGCCAGAAACCTGCATTATACAAGAGAAACTCATGAATATGCCTAAATTTGTCAGAGTATAATTATTGATTCAGTTGCTTTTCCATCTGCAATAGTACTAAATTATACCTTTTGTGTTCTGTCTGTACTTTTGTTTCAAACAGTACACTAATCATTTTCTCTTTGCATTTCTTTCCACTTGAGTCCACATCCACTTTGCAGGTTTTCTGAAGAATCAGGTACTCCTAAATGATAAAACAGTATGTTAAATACGTATCTTACTCTGAATCCCAAAGTCTTACTTTTAAAGGAGAAATAATCTGCTGGCCTGTTTGCATGCTGACAGAGTACTTGCTTTCTGAATCAAGCAGTAAGAGAGTTATGCAGTGTTTTTATGTACTTGGAAGCATAACATTCTGGTGAATGCTGGAGTAAAGAAGGTTCTAATCCAACTACGCAGGCTTAAATCTAGTCAGCCTACTAGAGCTGATTCTGTGGTTAGTTACCTAAACCCTCTGTGACTCAGTAACTTACTCCAGAAAATGCTTGCTCTTAACAGCTACCTTATAGGGAAGCTGTGATGGTTAAATGAGCTAATATGTGCAAAGCACTTAGAGGAGTGCCTGGCGCAACAGCACTTAATGCAGCACCAGCTACTGTCATTATTACAGGACTATTACTACTTCAGTCAGAGTGAAGTGAACAGACACACAGTACCAAACTTTCCAAATTGATGGAATCCATAAATATGCACCTGTAATTCTCAATCCTGATAAACAATCTTAAAAAATTTAACAGAGATATTCACATTAAATGGCATTTTAGGGAAAGTTAATAAAAAAGAAAGAACTATTTTTAAAAGTTCTCTGCATTAGCACAGGTCTAGCCATATGATTCGGAGAAGGCAATGGCATCCCACTCCAGTACTCTTGCCTGGAAAATCCCATGGATGGAGGAGCTTGGTAGGCTGCAGTCCATGGGGTTGCTAAGAGTCAGACACGACCGAGCGACTTCACTTTCACTTTTCACTTTCACGCATTGGAGAAGGAAATGGCAACCCACTCCAGTGTTCTTGCCTGGAGAATCCCAGGGACGGGGGAGCCTGCTGGGCTGACATCTATGGGGTCGCACAGAGTCGGACACAACTGAAGTGACTTAGCAGCAGCAGCAGCCATATGATTAAATATATATTCATTAATTGATGGATCCAATCAGAGTAAAAACATATGCAAAACAGCTGCACTTAGCCTAATATGCCTGAGCTGGCTTAAAGAAAAACCTGAGCCCTTTGGGGAAACATGAGCAAAGAAATTATGAGCATTCATTTAGTCAGCCAGTATTTTACCCAAAAGAGTCCAGCTTTATAGATATGCTATGAGTGAGTCAGTGACAGTTGCTCAGTCATGTCTGACTCTGTGCGACCCCATGGACTGTAGCCTGCCAGGATCCTCTGTCCAAGGAATTCTCTAGTCAAGAATACTGGAATGGGTTGCCATTTCCTTCTCCAAGATGTACTATACATCACCTTAAAATATGTGGTTCCTTGGTCAGACCCCAACCCAAGATCTGTACTAAATCTGAAAATGTGTTGTACCTATACACTATAACCTAGCACTACTCTGGTTAACTGAGGTTATTAATTACCAATTTTCGTGTTAAGAGCCCATCATGAAAAAGCTATGTAATCCTACAAATGTGTAATAACCCCACAAATCTTTAAGATAGTAAGTTATGAAAGATAAATCTGTTTTAAATAAATTCTACTGTAATTTTCTTGACCCAACCCACTTGAAAGCATAAAACCTATGATGTGATTTGTAGCTCTTTTAATATTTAACATATAATAAGCAGTTTTCCTTGTCTGGTCCCACATAAAGCAGGTTAGATGTGTATAGAATGAGAACTTGAAAAATCTGAAGAAGATGATGATTTTGAAAGCAGCTGCTGAGACAAGTCAGGTGGAAAGCAAAAGTTAGGGAGGAGATGACAAGCTGACAACCCGAATGATTCTACTTCCACTCATACTAAATCCTGGTTAAAAGGGACCAGCTCCTCTTTCCAGGTACTACAGATACCAAATTCAAGCATCAGAACATATCTTTAACTGCCAAATTAAAAGTTTGCAGGCTTACCCACAAATACATACATGCTGTGTGCTTAACCAAGGAAAGAAATATAAATAGGCACAAAATTAGTGCAAATGTATAAAGTTTAGGCTCAAAGCTAATTACAGAAACAAACATTTGTGTACCATAGAGATTTCTTTTTTAATAACCTATCACTTTCATTAAGTGGCATGACTTTTAAAACACAATCTTCTACTTATTCTTCAAGCTTTATAAGTCTGTAGTTGTAATTAGAAGTTACAGATAGTCTTTAAAAAAGAAAATAAAGATCTATTAACATGGTAAGAGGGCATGCAAAAACATCTTAATGATTCATCTGCCCCATTGTTATAAAACACCATTTTAGCAGAAAAGAGCCAAATTCACATTCAACATCAAACTTTTTGGCACCTTGATGTCATTTCTGTCTCCTTGCAGTAAAATCAGTATGATTTTACCCATGAACATCAGTCTTCCTGTCAGCCTTAAATCAGAAACCCACTTCTCCACAGTTTTGACATATTTAGTCTTCGATCTCATGTGATCTAAATGCAAAAGAGTCATCCACAACCCATCATCCACAGCCATGCTTTCTGCAGAAGAGCACTTTTCATTGCCACCTTGGGCTTCTGGGCGCTTGAGGATGTGCCTGAGGTTTTGCTGAATCCAAAGAACCAGTTCGTGAACCATAGGTTCCGACAAAAGGGTCTCTGCTTGCTCCAGTAACTTCTCCTTCACGATTTCACACTGGGCCCTGGTCAAGTCCTTGGAGTTCACCACAATACCAGGTAGACAGGATGGGTAACTGAGCGGTAAGTGGAACACCAACTGCAAGGGTATATCCGTATCTGTAAATCCTTCAGCTTTTGTGAGAATTCTGAACACAGCCCCATCTGTCTCTGGAAAGCATCCAAAAATAATGATTAGTTGTACCTAATTCAATTTGAATGGAACACTAACAAGAGAAAATTTTGGTTTCAGATGTCAATTTTATTTTTCACGTGAAAATTAAGTTATTTTATGATGAGACACATCACACTAAGAAAGCCATGATTTACAGGTGTTTTCTTTCAGTCATAGAATCATGCTCAACCAGCACCCAGGATTTCACTGGCATTTACAATTGCTATTATCCTCTTTTTATTAAGATCACCAGAAAGGTTTCTCCTTATATGATTTTTTTTTCTACCCAGACTTAGTTGCTAATTCTGGAAATTCCTAATAAACTCACATGAACCTTCAAAGAAATAGTATCGTGTATTTATAAAATCAGGAATTAGCTTAAAAGCTATATACTAAATCCAATGAAAATCATGGTGCAGTGAGTCCAAGCAGAAGCAAATCCTGGATCCCGTGTGGTGGTTGTAAGGGTGCAGAGAACACCACCACAGTCACTGCCTGGACCCGCTCTTTCTCACTTCAGATGAGGAACTAAAATGGGGCAGCCATCAGTTCAGCCGCCTTCTGGCTCCATGAGGAGGGGGAAAGGGGAAAGTACACACAGGATACAAGATGAAACGCTCTGCTCTCTTTCAGATTTGCTCCACTTCACCCCTCTGATGTGTTCCACACCACTTCACCCCACTTTTCACAAGTTGATAAAACGTCAGGCTGATTCATTCTGCAGGGGGCAGAAGCACACAGATCAGAAGAGAAGAGTAGAACAGAACTGGGTGCCAAGGAGGCTCTTTGAAGTTAACTTGCCTTGTCTACCCTACTTCTATCTCCACAGCCCTTGTTTCATTCTCCGTCACAGACAGGCAGTCAGATCATTCTCATTTTCATACCTGGATTGCTGCTCAACAGCCTTGGCAATGGAAACCTGAATGTATCCCCATTTTAAAGAACTGAACAGAACATTAAAATGGCTCTCTAGCCATCTGATTCCAATTATTCAGAAGCCATGGGTATAGACATTGATTTATATGGGACCAAACATATCCATTACACAAGGTTTTTCTTTAGTAGAATCTTCAGTATCAAAGGCAAAGCACTGCTGTTTTAGGACACTACCCCAAACCCAGGCAATAACCATTATAAAGATCATATTAAAATGATGTAACTTAAATTTGTATTACATAAGAAAAACGTGGCTGCATAAAGAAAAATTTTCCAAACAACTTAGTGCATTCCCCTAAAGTGCATCACCAGATTCTCAAAGTCTGTCTTTCTTCTATCCTGTTACTTCTCCTTTAAAAAAAAAAAAAAATACTATTGAAAGTAGGCTCCCTGGATGTCAGTAAAATCATTACATTTCACTTGGTAAAATGAGTATTATAAATAGACCAACAGACAACGTGTAACCACTAGACTAAATAAACTCTCCAGAAATCATCAAGAGAGTCCACTTTCCCTCTCAAGGGGGAGACATAATTTTTAAAGCTCTTCATTCATCATTTAACAAATAGTCACAGGAAACATAAGAGATTCAGGTTCGATCCCTGGGTTGGGAAGATCCTTTGGAGAAGTAAATGGCAACTGACTCAAGTATTCTTTTTTTATTAATTCATCTATTGAAAAATACTTTTTTTTTAATTGAAGGATAACTGCTTTACAGAACTGTGCTGATTTCTGACAAACATCAACATGCATCAGCCTTAAGTATACATATGTCCCCTCCCTCCCACTTTCCTCCCCATCTCACCCCTCAAGGTTGTTAGAGAGCCCTGGATTGAGTTCCCTGAGAATACAGCAAATTCCCATTGGCTATCTATCTTACACACGGTAACTTAAGTTTCCATGTTACTCTCTCCATACATCCTACCCTCTCCTCCCTCCCCACGCTCCCTCGTCCATCCCCATGTCCATAAGTCTATTCTCTGTGTCAATTATTCTTGTCTGGAGAATTCCATAGACAGAGGAGCCTGGCGGGCTACAATCCATGGGGTTACAAAAGAGTTGAACACAACTTAGCAACTAAACAACAAGTCAGCAAATAGAAAAGCAATGAGAGAAAATCCTGACTTTAGCTTTGGAAATTGTGAAATTATTAGTTATGTTTAGAAGGAAAACTACTTTAATTCTATCAAGAATTAAAGGACTAACAACCTTCCTACTTGGTTTTCTCTGTGACTCCTTACACACACACACACACACACACACACAGAAGTTGAAAACTGAAATTACACAAAATGATGCTATCTCTGTAAGAAAATGAAAATCCCAATAACATACCCCAATACCTCTGATATTTAATGCAGTAGTAAAACTGTACATTCTTTCAAAAACTCATTTTCTCCCTAAAACTCTAGAAACATGTAATTAAACTGGCTCTTTTTGCCTCAGAAATTTTCATGTAATCACATATACTGTCAGTCTGACTTGGGTTATTTTTCCATAAAAAAGAAAACAAGGTTGTTCCTATCTACTTTACGTTTATTTAACAGCTTAGAAACAGAGTGATTAACAGAAAAATAATGGTGTTCTATATCCTACTGTTAATCTCTGGCCTTCCCTGGCACCAAGACACTCTAGCTATTAAGTTCAACTCACAAACTCATCATTCTCAATAAACATCTATGCCACAGAAAACTTATGCCTGCCCTAGGAATCTATAATTTTCATAAGTTCCAAGACTATTTTCACCTAAAGATCCTAGCAAAAGATTTAAGTCTTGCCTCTGGTTAAAAGTTCACATATCTATTCCCTAGTTTGGATTTTTTTTAAATAAGTCTTTATGCCTTAAAATAAATGTATCAACTTCATAACCAAAATAGGGGTTTCAAACCTTATTCTTCAAGTATATGAAAGAAATTATGCTAACTACACTCCAAACAACAGAAATTCAAACTAGAGAAACTGAAACAAACCCCAAATTCCATACCATTATTTTTAAGAATTCACCCTACACACACACAACAGAAATTCAATAAATGCTGTACAATAACAGAAGGCAGTGGAAAATGTGAACAAATTTAAGAGAATGAATTCTTCAAGATTCATTTAGAGCCTATTAAGAATTCTTATCATTGCATCATGATTGCATCATTGCAATCACTGTATCATTGAATCATGGCATCACCGACTGGAAGGACATGAGCTTGAGCAAGCTCCAGGAGTTGGGGATGGACAGGGAAGCCTGGAGTGCTGCAGTGCAGAGTCAGACACGACTGAGCAACTGAACTGAATTAAACTGAAGAAATCATTTATATGCCACATACAATCGGCTTTACCAATACTTGCTTTTTTTTTTTTCTTTGCAGTATTTACATGTCCTCAGGGTAAGACTTGTTCAGAAAACCACCAAAAAGTCCCCAACAGCCTCTCTTACTTCATCGTACAGAATTTTTTTTCCCTCTTGCTCCCGGACGCCTCCCCACAAGTATGCATCAACCAGTGCTGCAGCTGGATTGTTATATATTTTAAAAGGTAGTTACAAGAAAAAAAAGAAAAAAAAACTAAGACTAAGTGAAGCTCAAAGTGGCAATCCCTCCTTTAGAAGTGAAGTTCAGGGCTGAATTGGTTTTAGAGGTGACCTCAGTACTGACAATCAGCAGGAAACAGAGCTGAGCAGATTTAGAGGGGTCAATGGGTGACAGTAATGATTCATTTTGCAGGAAGGTCCAATGCAGTCTGAACATTAGTGTTAGCAGAATACAAAAACTTACTCTGAAGCTACCATGCAAACATATCCTATGATATTGAGTCTTACACACCTCTCACTTTACAACATGCTTATCTGTAAGATGATTTCCAGAAACACAATTCAATGTATAGTGAGCACTGACTACGGTAATATACTCTGTGACCTCTGATTACCTCATCAAGAAAATGAAGATTTATAACATCACCAGTCTCACCTACTTCACAGGTACCCACACGGCCAGGCACACACATTACCCTTCAGAACTATTCTGAACGTAAGTTGGACCCCACCTGATTCTTTGCTCTGGGTGCTCATCTTGCTCTCTTTATCTGGACAAGTGTTATCCCTGCTCTCTAAGAGCTCTTTTCCTGTTGCAGCAACTCATGTCTATTAAGGAGCATGATGCACTGCAAGAGTCCACCCTAGTGGTTACTAAATCAGCCTGAGCATCTATTATCTTCTCTAAAATAAAGAGCACTCCTCATCGGGACTAATGACAAGCCTGGCAGATTTAACGTTTTCTCCTTTAGATGTGTCTGTGCTGTGTGCTTAGTCACTCAGTCGTGTCCAACTCTTTGCGACCCCATGGAGCCTGCCAGGCTGCTCCGTCCACGGGGATTCTCCAGGCAAGAATACTGGAATGGGTTGCCATTCCCTACTCCAGGGGATCTTCTCAACCCAGGGACTGAATCAAGGTCTCCTGCATTGCAGGCATATTCTTTACCAACTGAGCCACCAGGAAAGCCTAGATTTGTCTAGCTTCCATGAAAAAAGATGTTAGTGTTCTACCTTACCTTATATTTCACTGACATATCTTTTAAGTGTCTTTCAGGATTCCCTGCCACTGTTTTCCCAGTATCTGAGAATAATTCCTTACCAATTTCATTTGCTTAATCACAGCTTAAGATTACCTATCTTTCTTTTGAATAAAGTTGTTCAAATTGCCCCTTCTTCTCTACCATTTGTTCTCTCAGATATACAAGAGATTATGTACATATGCATAAATACTTCTTGAAAAATAAGCTAAAAATAAAAAATCTTGAAACAAAAAAAACAGAATACCTCTCATCAAATAAGATGCATTTAAAGTATCAGGTATATGGCAGGCGACCCCATTAAACCTGGCACTTTGTCTGACTGCACTGTGCCGGGGTCCAGCCTCGGCAGGATCCAGGGGGTACCCTCAGGATGAACGGCGTCAGCGAGAGAGAGAGAAGACACGTGAGACCAGCCGTGATAGGGCCAAGTCTGTGTTCTACTTTTTGACAACAGTTTTTATACCCTCAGTCAGAACGTTTCCAAGGTACAAGATGCTTACTCATGCTTACACAGGATTAGTATTATATCAGTTTGTTTTTTAGGAATAGCAGGATGTTTTCTGCTTTCTAATTCTATAGTAAATCTTAGCACATTATCTTTGGCCTTGGGGCCCATTAACATTTTATGCGGGTCAGGTGAATGTAAGCCTATTTTCCGTTTCTGTGGTGACCTTAACTGAAAGGTAAGCAGTCTCATAGGGCAACAGTACAGAGTAGAAGTATATCCTTGTTAACACAAAAATTAATCCTTCTGCAGAAGTTGTCAGTTGAGTTTATCTAAGAAGTTTACCCCACACTGACTCTGCGACTTTGGTGAGGCAGCCCCTGCCTAGGACTCCTGGGTAATAATTAACAACCGTTTCATTGTTACCACACTAGGGCTAAGCTCTTGTTTTTCTAGATCTATAACTATATTAACAATGGTTTCCACAGCACAACCTTAGCACATTAAAAGCAAAAACACAGCAAGCAAACGTCAACCCAATAACCACCTTTAGAATAATTTTTCTTATGTTTTCTAATAGGACTCCTTCAACCCCCAAAAAGGCTCTATGTCTATTAGGGCCTTTATATGATCAGGTTCTTTATGCTGTTTTATGACTAGGGTATTATGAGCAGTCATGCATATTAGTACCAAGGGCATAAACACATTTGCCAAACAAACTAAAATACCAGCAAAGGAGTTTAAATTAAAACACTCCTTTCAACCTGGATAATTTCATAAAGTACCACCACCCGGGAAACTTATTGATTAAAGTTCTCAATTGATTCTTATTTGGGAAGAGATCAGGGAAGGCCTTCTGCCTGTGTCACAGAAATTAGGGAGTAGTCTATTGAAGCAAGCATCAGAAAGACAGATACATCATCTTTAAGGTGAGCGCCGGGGGCAGCTTTTCGGAATCCCTGAAAACCTGATCCGCCTTGCCGGTCAGGATTCCTCCTCCTGACCTTGTCATGGGTGGGATCTCGTGAGCTGGCTCCCAGCAGCACTGCACAGGCAGCAGCAGAATGCCCCCAACTTGGTCTACGCATGGCACGCCCTAGTGGACCGGTGTCAGAGCTCTCAGAATTCACACCCGGAAGACAAAGCTACAGCTGATGCCTCTTACAATGAACTTACTACAACCACCACAAAGAGGCCACAGTGTATGTAAGTCCCCTGAAATTCTCAGCACAAATTAGTCCAGCCAAAAGAATGCAATTATTCAGACTCTTCAATCGTATGGCCTTACTAGATGACCCCTGGGTTGACAGCCTGAGCCTTCCTGGGCTACCTTCTACCAGAAGCGCAATCCTACCAATGTTAACCTGATTTCAGGGGCAACAAAGAGAAGCTTATCTGAGGGGAAGACCAGGAAGGAATTGATGGTATTCAGAATGTTCTGGTGTTAAGCTTATATCCTCCAATCCAAGCTGACAGTGACCACCAGACCGGTAGCCAGCAGCCCACTGGATGTTTACTGTGGTCTATTATAAAGAAGTTCTTACTTACCCTTAATTCCCCCTTGTGAACATCAAACATTCCTACTGCAACCACTGAATTGTTTTATTCTCCAATGAACCTTTCAGCAACAAAATGTCCTAAGTTGTTACACTGAATTCTTTTATAATTCAATTACTTACTGATGCCAGAACACTGAATTAAATTAATTAGGAGGCATGGCTTGAAGTCATGCTCAATTTAACAGCAGATAAAGGGTCCACAGTGTTCTTTGTATCAAAAAATTGCTCCCTTTCTTCCTCTGCTTACTTTATTTTGGTCTTCTCTGAACCGTCAGCAGTGTCATATGCTCAACCACGTACTGAGGACAGAGACCACCATCAATCCATCCTCTTTCAGGTGTAATGGTAAATCATAAGTTCATTTTCCCAGGATATTTCCAGTTGAGCCATAATAAAGGAATTAAAGAAAACTAATGATATCCTCAAATGGCCTGCCTCAAGTAGAAGTAATGAAGTAATTATCAATAAAGAGAGTAGTAAAGACAGCAAGTAAGATGATAAAGAATAACAAATGCTATCCAATCAGAAGATAGATGACAAAAAAAAAAAAACTAAAAGTGAGTAAATCTTCTCCTAAGGATTTTAAACGTTGTTTCAGAAAGCTGCAAGACAGACTAGGCATTGAAAAGCAAGCAGCTTCACCACATAAATTGGTTCACAGTGCCCAGAACACGTCAGTGCTAAATGAATGCTTACAGACTGGTGATCAAGAGAAAAAAAGGAAAAGGAGGCCATCCCTGCTCCGCAGGTGAATAACACATCACATGGACACGAGGAATAGACCGTAACGCTTGACAGCTTTCTCACAACACCCAGACATTTTAGACTACCTTCTTAAAGGTCAATCAATTTATGGTCAGAAAGACAATTTTAATAACAGCTGAAACATGACAGAAGTTTAAATCTCATGCCAAAAAATTTACATAATGTATTTTAAAGCTAAGTGAAAACTGAAAATCATCTGCATCACTGCACTTTTTTCATAAACTGAAGTTTTGTTTTTTACTTAACAGAAGCTACAGACAGGTACAGAGAGTACCTGAGAGAGTTTCCGCTATCATGAAAATAAAGCCAGAATAACCGTTCTAGACTGTAAGCTCCGGGGGACAGTGTCTTTGAAACCTTGCGTTTTCAGGGACTCAAATGTGAGCGGAACAATTAATGCGCCCCAAGAGCCTGTAATTGATAACCACCTTTAAGCGAACTAGAAAAAGCTGAAGAAAAACAATCTAACTGAGAGAGTTCTGACTGAGCTCTGGTTGAATTCAAAAATTCATTCAACAATAATTTACCATGTGCCTGGCACTGACCTAGGTGCCTGCAGTTTTGTGATTACAAAACAGACAGGGTCCTGCCTTCTTGCAACTTGAGACAACCAAATACCCATTTAGTTTAACTTCAGCGGGTGCCCTGATGGGGAAGTTGGCTTTAAACTAGGGGTGTCGGGAGAGACCTCTTTTTAAGATGAGATCTGAAGAATAAGTTCAGGACACCCAGGGAGAGCCTCGGGGGACGCTGTCCAGGAGGGCGCAGCTGGTAGCCCTCAGCGAGCTGAGGACTAATCAGGCCAATTAGGGGGTGCAACGCGGCGGGGGGGGGGGTTGGGAGTATGTTTGAGGGGGTGTAGAGGCGAGTGGGGGAGGGACGGGAGAATGGAGGGAAATCAAGGAATTGGGGGCGGGGGCGAATGGAGGTGGGAACGGGCGAGTGGGGGTGAAACGCGAGAGTAGTGGGTGACACGGACCAGTGGATGAAGGGGCGCGGAAAGCAGGGACCGGCCGACGGGCTGAGCGTTATGTTCTCAGTTGACTGCAGAGCAGCGGGAAGGGGCGCTACACTATTCACGTTTTAAGGGTCGCCGCACTCCGCCTGCTCCCACACGCGCCCAGTCCCGGCGCCTGTCATTCCATCATTCAACTACCCCGGCCCCCAGGTGTGGGCTCGGGGAGATGAGCCCAGTCGGGGTGGGTGGGGAGCCCGGGTCCCTCTGGCGCGGAAGTAGTCACCTGAGAAACTCAGCACTTCCCACTCGTCCGGCCCGCAGAAAATCGCTGCCAGGGCCGAGAGCTCCTCCCGCACCGGCTCCGCCATGGCCGCACCGCCCCGCACGCTCAGCACCGCCCTTTCCGCCGCCGCTGCCGCCCAGGCCGTCCCAGAACAGTGCGGCCGGGCGGCCACCAGGGGGCGCTCCGCGTTTCCGCTGCGCTCCGCGGGCTGGATGGCACTAGACGCCCCGCCCACAAGCTCCGGCTCTGTAACTGCAGCGCGAAGACTCACGCTGTTTGGGGGGCTTTTCTCAGAGAGTGAAGGCCCTGTGGTCCAGGGCAGGGTGTCTGCCAGAGGCCACCCTGCAGCTCACCCGCTGCTTTTCTAACAGAGGGAAGCCGGCTAGCAAAGCCGGAAATTCTCTAACTTTAGTCCGGGCTTTGTACACTAGCCATTCCCTCCCAGACTTGTCCTTGAAGGGAACTTGGAGGTTGGGGGGGGGGGGGGAGGGGGAGTGACCTAAAGAGGTTAGCCCCTGTCTGGCTCAGAATTGAACTAGGTGTTAGAAACACTGCAGTTAACAGATCAGAGGAGCTTCTCCGCCCTCATGGAGGTACTAGAGACCCAGGCAATATGGGACACCGGAAAACCTCCGGGGCAGCAACAACCTCCAGATGCTGAGAGGTAACTGGCGCTCAGACTCTAGACCAAGACCGGATTCCTCTTTCTCTTTCTCCTAACGATGGTTCAGAAGGGGAGAGTTGGACCTGCCACCTCTGGCATTCTAAGGATGCTACTGGGGTGGCCTGGACCCTTGCTGGGGGCCTGTGTACCCAGGTGCTGGGAGCAGTGTCATAGCGTTCCTATTTGTCTCTGCCTTCACAGGGTTCCCTGGTGGCTCAGTGGTAAAGAACCCACCTGCCAACGCAGGAGACCCAGGTTCAGGCCCTGGGTGGGGAAGATCCCCTGGAGAAGGAAATGGCCACCCACCCCAGTATTCTTGCCTGGGAAATCCCATGGACAAAGGATGCCTAGCCGCTACAGTCCATGGGGTCTCAAAAGAGTTAGACACGACTTAGCATGTAAACAATAACAAACAAACAAATCACAGGGGACAGCCCTGCTGAAACTGGCAAGTGGAACTCCTGGGCCTTTGAGGGTACAATCAAGTATGTAAATATGGCAAATGCTAGCTTTTCAACATTACTCATTTTGTGATCTTCAATTGATACAAAGCAATGTGATTCTTGAAGCTTAATAATGAAATGATCATCCTTGAACTCCACTCAAATCTAAGAATGTTCACGTACCAGTAGGGTAACAGAATTATCAATCCATTCTGTTTCAACGTTGGTTTTGTGAACAAGATTACAATGATTCTGTGTGATAGTTTTTTCAGTATGTTTGACTTGTCCTTTTGTTTGTCAAGTAACAGTTTGAAATTTTGCAGACCCAAAAAATAGCTGGTCTAGTTAACAGAGGTCCCACGATTTTTGTTCGTATCAGAAATAACATTTTGTGAGATAAATCAGGGAATTTGGATGACTACACAGTGACTCCTGTCATTGACCATGGATGTCAGGGAAACAGGGCTGATTTAAAGACTGAGTTCATATTACCATCATTAACATCCCTCCCACTCCAACTAAGAATGGGTCTTAAAAAGGAAAAGATACTGACTTCTGAGAACAGAAAGGAAGTTTAACAAGATAAACTGCAGGGGAAAGGCCTTTCAGAGGATGCAGTGGGGTTTTAGTGACCCCAAGTAATTAAGAGCACTGCTGTGTACATAACTGGAAAGACAAAGGTTTATTTAAATGCATAATTATCTCTGATGTGGCCAGTTTGTTTAATAATAACTCCTTTGAGTTATTTCCACAGTAGCAGCAGGTCAGTAGGTTCAGTAGCTGCTTAAGAGTTTGGTGAGCAAAAGAATAAATTTTTAATTTAAAACATCATTAATTATTTTTAATTTTAGCTTGAAATCCAATGTTAGTATTAAAAGTGGTAGGAAAATATTAATTTATTTAACTTACTTATTAAAGATGATGGACAAAAAATCAAGTAGTTCATATCTTATTTTTAATATGAGTCAAATAATATTAACAGCAAGACTACAGCTGTCAGAAATATTAGGAGGCATCCCTGAATCCTGTTGTCACAAGGTGTACGTGAAATTGATGTAAGAGTGCATCAATCTATGTAAAATTTTCTTGTCAATAGGTTTCTTCTTTGCTTTTCCTTTCTTCGTTGATTTCTTAACCTGCTTCTCATACTCCATTTAGCGTGTTTAAATAAAACAGAAGTCGATGTGCATGTCTTTTAAATTGACAGTATCCTCAGGCCCTGAAGTCCTATGAATAAGTTTCTACTCTCTGACATTTGGAAGTAATCATCACAGAGAAAGCATAATGTCAGCTTGATATTTCTCACACTATGAAAATACCAGCTACATGTCAAATATCTGAAGCCTACCTTAATGCAATAAATTTTCTTGGATTCATATGCTACTGAAAATTCTAAATATTTAAATGTGCAATGATATCTAGACATGTGGATAAATGTCTAGTTAGAGCATGATCTCTTTCTCTCCTTCTCTACTCCTCTGCCCCCAACAATGTTTGTTTCCCTAGAACAATATTGTTTATATATGCGACTTTCCTAAATAGTTGCTTTCCCAAGACCGAAGGAGAAGCTGTAAATCTCTCACCTCCAGTTAAAACCACTAGCCCAAGAGAAAGAGTTCTTTAACTTTTCTGGGAAAACCTTTCTATTCACTTTATCATGTGTAGTATGTGGACTGGAATATTCAACTCTGTGTCTGTAATTTTAAGTCAAATTAAGGTAGGAGACAGATGGGCCCCTGGGCTGGACAGCTGGTGTTTGTCAATTGGAGTAAAATTGAAGCTTTGTTCTCATCCAGATTCTCCGGGGACAACGCTAGTGACAAAAGCTATTAAGTAAGAGATAAGGTACCTATTCCTAAGGTCAAGGAAGACTTCCCTGTCTGCACATGTGCAGGAAGGCTTCTGGGGGATCAAAAAGGGAGGGAGTCCAACCCCATATTAAGTGTGAACATGCACCCACAGGCCTCTATGGTGGGGAATCCATCTTAACAAAAAGTTGCACATGCATACCGGGGAGGGTCCTAGGACCTCAGGTGTGAAGAAAGAAACAAGATAATTGGCCAAAGGTAAACAAAAACCTGGAAGGACTGTCCTACTTAAATGATTTAAGTCACTTCCTCACTGCCCTCCTCCTCATTCAGTACACCCGCCCGCATTCGTCTCCAAGTGTGTATTTCTGTCTTGCTTCTAACTTACTAGGCTCCTCCTCATTAGGGAGGCCACCCATACCATTTCTGTCTGCGTCTTTCTGCCCTGCTTCCGTCTTAAACAAACAAACCTTTTCTCTGTGTGCTGTCCCACATGTTGTGCTGTGTCTCTGATAATAAACTTTGTTTTTACAGTTTTTGCCTCCTTGAAACATTCTTGCTTTCAAATGGGGGAAAGAGCCAGAACCACTGTGCTTCTAGCCTCTGGCCCCTGGTGGTCTAGTAGCTAGATTCCTGGTTTTCATCCAGGCTACCCAGGTTCAATCCCTGGACAGGGAGCTATGATTTCTCTTCAGAACCACTGATTGCTCTCCCTCCAAGATCAAAATCTTATAGAATTGAGCATAGAAATGAGAATACATAACTTGAAGAATATTAAGAGAGGTTAAGTATTAACCTATAAGTATTAACCTATAAGTCAAAAAAGCTGAGACTCCTAAATCTGAAGTGAATGGGAGTGTGATAAGGAAAATGATCATATTAAGACTATGAGGCAAGTAAAAATGCTTTCAAGAACCACTAAAAGTAAAGAACAAAAGAGGCATTAAATGCCAACTTGCTAAGTGAACCTGAACTCCAGTATGTTGTGCTACTGGTTTTGCATAAAGGCTTTCTGTGTTGACTTACTTCATAAGTACTCATAAGTTACTTCATGGTTCTTGGGCACCATTGGTCTGACTCAGCATGCTGAGTATTCAAACACAGAGATGAAAGCAGCAAGCCTTTGCTCTTCAGTTTTGAGTCTAGACAGGTAAACCCTGCGTGCAACAATTACACGTTCTTTCATCATGCTAAGGCAGCAAGAATTGCCACATTCCCTGCTTCGTGTGAAGTTTGCTGTCATGGTTTGGTGACCGTGAAGGCCTGCTGTGGAGCACGTACCTCCCACAGTTTCCCAGAGGACAAATAGGTCTGTTCAGGAACATAGTAGGTTTCCAAAAGTACATCAAGTCAGTGGTGTGATTGGCCATAGTTCTTTTTGTTCTGTTACCATGTATGAGTCACAAACTTATTTTTCACCCAGAAAACAAAAGCAAATAGAATGTGTAAGAATTTGATATTGACACTGTAATCATACCCTTCTGTGGAAAGATATGCCTCCAGCTTGTCCAAATAATCTGTCCCCCCTCCAAAAAATTGGTTACATTCTGCCTGTGAGAAATTGCTTGATTCTCACACAGGAGCAATATCAAAAGTTTCAGCTTGCCTTGTAAGAAAACATCCCCATGACCCAGGTCCATTGACATGAAAGTTCAATGCCTTATCAATGTTTTAAAAAGAAGGCTTCAGTTTCATTAGTGTTTTAGACTTCATCTAACACCCAAGAGTTAATTTTGGTTACTACTGTAAGTGGATTTTTTTATTCATTATATATTTTGTCAGTGTGTGTTACTAGTCTAATCAGTTTTTATTATCTGGATTGGGGGGGAGGGGCGGTGCTTGAGAATATGTGAATTTTTTAAAACTCCTTTTCTCCAAATTTGTAAAGGAATTATAAAGAGTCAATGCTGCCATCTTGCAAAATAGATTCTCGGTGGTTGCAAGTTGAAAGAAAGAGTATATCAAAGAATCAAAACTGTGACTGGGAAACTTACATCTGAGTTTCCTTATAAGAAAAAATGTGGGGGCTCCACAGGCAGAAAATGTATTAGGCACAGAGAGAGGCGAAAGGGAGGAAAAAGGGGGGGCAAAGAGGTGCCCTAGGAAGATCAATACTTCAGAACGCTATGTGAAAGGATGATTTTCATGAAGTGAAGGAAGTCATAGGTTA